GCGCTGAGAACATAAAGAGCATACACCCACCCTTTTTTCACTTGTGCCTTTCAGGTGAACGACAGCCACTGACCGACAAGAACAAAACCGACCTGAGAAACTCGGGCGCCTCGATCTCCGACAAGAACAAAACCGACCTGAGAAACTCGGGCAATAGCCTCGATCTTGTGTATTAATCCGTGAATCCGTGATAGTTCAAAAATGTTGTAAGTGAACGGGCACGTGTTTGCCATTCAGAACAAATAAAAATTAAGAAACATACGGCTGATTGATCTCATTTTCTATTTGAATTTGTGCTTGATTGTCTAGAGTGAACTTACCCTCCCCCCTGGAAAACGAACTGGGCAAAATTTTGCATACTGTCATCTGGTCCTCCACCTGGATTCAGTTAGGAACTGACCTTGGTCTGCTTGAACAATATCGCGGGACAACCTTCGGGATGTCTTCGCTAGTTGATTCCGAAGCATCCGAAGCTTCCGAGTTATCGGATGAAGAGGAGCTAGGCGGTCAAAAAATCTCGAATAAGCACAGACCTAAGGTGCCTGATTCGAGTGACAGTGAGGAAGAAGAGGTCGATCTCGCTAACGAGGAAGAGATTTGTCGGAAGGAGGGTGAAGGTTGGATTGTTGACGAGGAGGAGGAAGAAGAAGATGGTGGTGGGTCAGGTGGCTCTGATGAAGACAGTGATGATGCCGGAGATAATGAAAGGGACAACTACAGAGACGAAGATGACGATGCTCTAGATGAGGAGGACTTCCAACTCATACGAGAAAATATTGGCCTGGATCTGAAAAAGGTAGTGGGTTTGTTTGCCTTTTTTCTTCGCATGAGTTTATCTCCAACAGCGCTAAACTCATAGGCATACTGTTTACATATACTGCGTACATCATTAGGCTAGTCCGCCCAGTGAACTCAGCATCGAAATGATAATAAAGGTCCCGTCAGGTACCAGAAGGTCCTCCATATTTTTGCCCAGAGGACTGAGTATGTATGTTTTTTCCTCATTCACTGCGCAAAATGATCTAGATGAGTTTAGTTTAACCAGCTGTGAACTTCAAGTCCCTGGACCATATCTTGAAGTACCCCAACCTTACCGCATGCTTTATTCTTAACGCAGAACTAACTAACGGTATAAAACTCACACCGCAGTTGAAATGATCACTTCGGCTTCATTGTACGTCGATGTCTGACGATCTACCTTCGGCTCTTTCTCCCAAGGTCTGTGGATGCTGAGTTTCGCATTGAATGACAAGAGTGATTGTGGCTGTTAATAGTCTGGTGTAAAGGTGTGATGCCTGCAGAGAACCCATTGGCTGGGTATGGTCCCGTGAAGCCCATCTTGTTGCTTTTTCCCGGGTTATGCATCTTGAAACGGCTCCTAATCGGTTCCATCCAGTGCTATCCCGTCAAATGTGAACAATGGACTCCAGCCTCGGCTTACACACCAGACTATAGCTTATTGTACCCCTAGGACTTTGAGGGAATGCTTTAGCGTTGACAGTGTCTGCAGTCTCTTTTAGTCTTGCTGTTCTCTTTCCTTTAGAATGCCATCTTCATTTTTGTCTTGTGACTACGAAGCTCTGTTGCTGTTGCGGAACCAAATTATATTGGGCTAGGAAATCATGGAAGCAATGTCACTCGTATCATTACAGTGAAAACTCGTTTGAAGTTAACGACGGATGTAAAACATCGCAATGTAGTGGCGCGTCGAGTCAAATAGTTACCCAATAACATTGACACACTAACGGACGGATGAGAGGCACGCTGTCTAAACAATTGATACGTCGCCTAAATATCCCAGCCAAAAGCAGATTGTTCTAAGCACATATGCGGTACTAGAGAAGTTTGGGCACAGGCGCGTCACTTGCATTCAGGTAACCGAGTAGCGGTTGGTCAAATTTAAATCACTGTCCATTTTTGGACGGCAAGTAATAATCACCATTGACAACACCACCAGAGTAGGACACTGTTGCTTCTCTGCCGTACGAAGCAGACATGATGGTTGATATACTCTCCGGTTGCCCGATCTAGGATGGGAGCGGTCGAAATGCCGGGATTCGGTTTGGGCCACGAGCCTTCTGGTCAGCGGTTTCGCATTTTGACCTCTAAGCTACCTCATGCATATATATGTGTTGAGGTTCGATAGATCGGGTGCGAACCGTATTTGACCGGAGCGTTTCAGTTGTTTACCTGGCCGGCCATCGATAGTGTACCGAACTGGTACCTGGTCAGTTTGCGTGTCCGTCTGCTCAGTGTAAGTGACCAATACAGCCTTTGCGTTCTCGTTGGCCCAAAACTTGACAGCTGAGATTATTCGATGGTTTTGCTTCCTTATCTTGACCCGTTTCCGCACTGCGCTCTCTCACTCACGTATCCACTGATATCCAGCGGTTTCCCGCACGCCTATGCTTTGTGAGCTCTTTTGGCACGATAGCATTTGGAGGACAGGACATTTTGGGAATTTCGCAACTTTCGTCTCAGCATCAGCTCTAATACTGGTTTTTGTGGCATAATAGGTCATCGTTCTGTAAATCGCCAGCGACATTGAGCTCGAGTTTGCTTAGTTGTGAAAGCGCTAGCTTCTTGATGGAAAAGTCCGTGGTTCGAACTCAACCCCGGCATCTCAGCTGCTTCTGTCTAGACCTGGCTACCTGGCAATATCTCAGGTACCGTTCTTCCTTCAGGCACGAGGGTGGCTTGGGACCGGAAGGGTGTGACGTCTGCACGAAAACGCCAAGGTGGAGCATTTGGGGCTGCTTGCTTCTAGGTTTTCGTTGCTAGTTTGATACACATATAGCGTCAAGGCGTTATATCCCTGAATCAGGCTACAAGACCATTGTTTGCTGGGGAGTGTTGTTTTCCGTCCCTATTCAGTGGCGGAAGCAGAGGGGGAACCCGTCACCTGGCAGACGGGTGTGAAAGAGATTACGAAACGTTTGGGTGCCGTCGGTGTTACTCGCCTTTCAGGGTGGGGTCTTTTTCAGTCATTGCCATCTTTTCAACTTCTTGGGCTCTCGGTCAGCCTGAGACTGTGGATCAGGTGTTGTTTTGGAAATCCTCTCTTTAAATCGCATTGTCGTCCTAGTAGAACTCCGCGTGTGTATACAATTTCACTAGCCCCAGTGCCTTGCCATCACGGCCATCAAGCCAAAAATTGCGCCATGTACATGGCAACTTGTTATTCTCCTGGTGGCTGTATTATCCACGGTGCTCTCTGACATTGTGCATAAGTCGATCAATTGATGAGATAAGCAAATTTGTGGGAACTGAGTTAGGTTTACGCCCTGGCCCAGGACGCATTGACCATATATATTTACTCTGAGACAGGTTCTCCAACAGCGCCACCTTTTCGGACGTCCTACGATATTTGTTTTTTATACGCCTTTGACTGCTCTTGCCTCTGTTGGTCGTCAGAAACTATGGCAGTGCACAGCGACTAAATATGTCCGTTGAATGAGTACAGAGCAAGCTTCCTCCTCAGCTTTCTCTCCAACTTCGTCGTTAACATGCTGCCTGAAGCTTATTTGTCTGCCTCTAGAATCTCGGAGATCAAAATGCTTCTGGGACCTTCTTCACAGGTTTTGAGTACGCAGAGGGTATTGTTATCCCTTGGTTCCGATCACTTGCAAGTAACCTGAATGATTATCCCAGTTTTGTGTTCGCCTCACCTACGAAGGATAAAAGAGTGCTGAAATACCGAGTTAGGCCAACCACATATCTCATGCTTGCAGACCGGCCAATAGAAATAGGAGGTGAATTTACTCATACGGACAGTTGTGTAAGTTTTAGTGGACTGGCTGGAAACAAGGTCACTTTTCCAATCGGGAGAACCCGTACATCTTCTGTCAATCTCAACTCCGATTGCGTTAGTGTAACGTCAATTTCTCTATCATGGACACAGTATGCACCGTGGCAGTCAGAATCGTTCAGCTGTAACAACTTCTCGGTGCTTAGTTGCCATATCAACGGAAGGAGTCACGAGAGCTGGGATACTGCCAGGTTTCCCAAGCCTAGACAGGAGCAGTCGAGATGCTGAAGTTGGGTTCGAAACCACGGACCTTCTGGTCCGTAAGCGGATGCCTTAACCACTGAGCTGTCTCGAGCAGGGTAACCCATTGTGCCTTTGTGGCCCAGGAACGTGAACTGGACATTCAGGGGGTGTAATAAACCCATCGATGTTCAATCATAGGTGTGTCTGAAGGAATGACCAGGTCTGGTGGAAACATTTGTTTAGCAATCCTAGGGTACGCCGGGTGATCCTAATAATGAACTTCGTTGCACCGGGTGTCCTAATCGTGCCTCACAGATTAGGACGTACTCTGCATGTCAGAGGACCGTCTACATCGCAATACCCTGTGCTGACTCCAAACAATCGAGAGACAGACATTTCCCGTCATGGTGAAGAAGTGCGAAAGCACGAACCAGTCCGGTTGACAACTGCTTTCTTGGTAGGGGGTTTGTGGAATTTTCTCGTCAGCAGTTAGTGAAACTAGCAGACGTTGCACAGTCATTGACGTTCGTGCACCAAAGCTATCCCCCTCAATACATAGTTGCCCGGTTTCCCTTTTTCTCCGGACAACTAGAGTGGTTCAACGGCATCTAACTGACTGCCTCATCGCCTACGATGTTTGTCTATACTTCCCCTACCCTCCCGTTTTCATCGGTGACCGAAATTATAGCACCTGCAACTAATATATCTAGATTGCCTGGTTTGGAGCTGATAAACGGTACCGACACATTTACTGATGGTTGCTTCCTCGATGTGGACTGTTGGGGAGAATTTTCTTTCAGAAACGGCTTCAACGGGAGGTATATTTTCTCCTAGCAATTTTTCTAGTGCGAGGAGTGCTATATATCTTTTTATTGCGAAATAAATTTAATACCATATAACTCCGATTTAGCCTACAACTGCTGCTACCGGTTTTTAACCTAGTAATTAACAGGTTTGTCTTGGAAGTTCTTTTTGTGTGTGTGTGGTAGCTAAACAAAGTGTTTCCTTCATCTGTCTGCTAGCACAAGAAGCGGCGGCTGGTTGTGGACGATGATGACGAGTCCGATGGGGAACAAGTGTCGGCAAAGAAAGTTGCACGTGAGGTGGATCACGGACGGGAAGTTGTTGCTCGTCAAATTTTCGAAGATGACGATGACGAGGACGGTGGTTCGGCAGCAGACGCACCAAATAAGGCTGCTAGCTTCAGGGTCACAGGAGACGAAGAAGAGGAAGAAGACTATGATGGTATGTCGCTATCATTAGCTGTTTTCCTTACCACATGCCAGTGCTTGATATTCGTATCATCCGGCTGTGAATTTGTCACTCCGTCTACGTTCAGTCCTCATTATTCTGCACCATGTTTTAATCTATGCACTACTTCACTAATTCTCTCCTACCGATAATGACTCCGATGCTAGTTCGCTCGATGACCAAGCGTGGGAGTATTTTCTCCGTAATCGTGTACAACCTGTGGTTTTCTGGAAAACGTATGAAGGGATTATAAAGGACTCTGTTATTGTGTTCTAATTTCCTTGGTAGAGTCTGTGAGACCATCCATTTGTGCACCACTAGTTAGTGCTGCCATACAAACATGAAGCGTAGAAAGGGGATGGGTGGGGAATTGATAAAGAAGCTCTATTTCCTCAGTGGTCAAGAACTAGATTTCTATACTTTGGGATTGCAACGAGATTATCACACTTGGGCACCACATTTGTGTAAGATGCCGTCGGTGGAATTGCCCCAACGTTCTTTGTGAGTCTCGCCCGATAAGAGCTCAGCACGCAACAACTGATAAACTTTGACTAGGCAGTCTAACTAGAAAGTGACAGCTTGAGAGCCATTGGGTTGGTCAAGTTCTAGGTTCTTCAGGACTTCTTGCACGTGCAAGAGGGATCACGTGGGACCCATCAGGAAGGCGCGCAAATCTCACGCTATCCAATTCGACTGTGGCCGCTTTCTTGTTGTGAAGCCATGACCTGGCCCGTCTTCCTTGGACATTTCACCAGCACAGGTTTTGAACCCGTTGATCTGGTGACGCATTCATGAGAACCACTCATCTATAAGACCTCACCTATTTCCCTTGATTAACTTCTGCGTGATATCTTGTATTTATTTCCCGGTGGTCAGGTTCTTCATGAGGGTGGACCAGGTCTATGAGTATCGTAAATTGCATGTGCTCATTCTTGACGGTTGGTGATGAGAACCTCACATTTTTGTTTTCAGTAGTGAATTCCGCTGATATGGTGATATCAAGCTTTGCTTTTTTGTTTAGTTATATTGAACTACAGCGGATCTCCAGCGGATACTTCGTTCAAGGACCGGCTCCGAACCTCCTTCCCCATCAATATATGCCTCATTCCTCACAACCAACGTCAATGAATGTGTACGGATTTTGTGAAATGTTGAAATAACATAATCGGTATCTGTTATGCCAAGCCTGGCCATGTTGTTCGATGGCTGCTGAGACGGGCTGCATGATTGTAGGTCTAGGTTTTGGTTTACGGTTCTTTTACGTATGTTAGAAGGACCTGGAATTTCATCTACCAGTCATGTATACTACTGTGCAGATATATTAGTACTGCAAAGAAAATATGTACTTCATTTGAAGTTACACGTTGCTTGTGTAAAATTAACACTTTTGAGAGGATATCTCACCTTGGACTAAAGTTGACTTTTATTCTCTCCTCATCAGATATGGGCGATTTCATTGTTGATGACCGGGCTGGTGAGGCCCCAGCGAAGACTACCAGGCGTATTGTTCACAAAGACGCGGCACTTCAGCAGGCTCAAGACATTTTTGGTGTAGATTTCGACATGTCGGAATTCGAGGCCTTCCGTAAAGGACACGCCGCTGGTAGTGAAGAATACAGTGAAGAATCGGAGGTAGAGTATTCAGATGACGAGGAGGCTTCGGCTTCCGTCAGACGAAAACAAAGGAAACCTCGTTCTAGTGTAGTTTTAGATGACAAGGTTTATGAACTTTTTGACCCCAGTGATCTGGAGCGCGCCTACTACAGTCAAGCTGACGAGCGAATAAGGAAAACAGACATTCCGGAACGTTTCCAGTTACGCCAGGTCCCCGTACAATCAATTGATCCTTATTCACCAAACTATGCTCAAGAGTTGACGGAGCTCTCGGATGAAGCTAACTGGATCTACAGAAAGGCATTCAAGGAGGAACCAGAACTCAAAGTAATGCGAAAGTGTCCATTAATTCCTATATTTAGCCACCGTCCGTTATTCCAAAAATCTTGGAGACGCTCAAGCTGATGCGGGAATCATTGTTTGAAGTGCCGTTTATCGCTTTCTACCGCAAGGAATGCGTTGAGCGAGATCTGAACATCAAGGACCTCTGGCGTATTTACCAACTAGATGAAAAGTGGACCATACTGAACCAACGCAAGCGTAATATGATTCAGCTTTTCCAGAAATTACACGATTTCTTCGAAGCAACTAGCCCAGATGACCCCGGGAGTGTACAGAAAAAACATGCCACTTCAATTTTGAAGCTTATATCTTGGTATGTTTTATGCTGCACTTTTTAAACCCTGAATTTAGTGCGCGTAGCGCGGAGTCCCTGGAAGAATTAATCGATGTGCGTTTGAACTATCTGTTGCACTACTCCAGCTTCACAGAACCAATGCAACGTTGGTTCAAACGAAAGCAGGAAAAAGACGAGGCTAAAAAGGTTTGTTGTTGACCTTCGTTTTACTGGTACACTGTCTGTATTCCGTCTGACTATCGATTTTCCCTTGCGATTGTAGGATGGCGTGGAGGTTGATGAGAACGAGGAAGAGTCCTATCTACCTGAACAAGGAAACGCCATCCCATTAACCTTCAGTTTTGATCCGTTAACGGGTCGACAAATCCGTCAACGACAGGCCCGAGCGACGGCTTCGTACGAAGTAGCCAAACGAGCTGCTTTGGGAGGCTTGGTTCAGCGTTTCGGTCTGTCAGCGGCTCAGTTCGCAGAGAATGTTCAGGATCAGTACTTACGCCATGATGTCGATCAGTGCCCGATGCTTCCCCTAGATGCGGCCGGTGATTTTCTCTCCCCGCAGTTTCCTACAGCTAACGTGGCATTAAGTGCGGCCCGGTATATGCTTGCGTTTGAGATATCACGTGAACCATTTGTACGGCGGATGATGAGACAAATGTTTCAGTCACAGGCAGTCATATCTGTTCGCCCGACTCCCCGTGGTGTGAAAGAAATAGATGAGTCACATCCACTGATTTCAATCAAGTACTTGAAGAACAAGCCAGTATCCGATCTGATGGGATCTGTCCTGTTCCTTCATTTGCATAATGTAAGTTGGGATGTGGTTCTGTTTATGCCGGCAAACTATTCGTCGATCCTCCAATGTTGTTTTGCCGATCAGTTACGATGCAAAGCTGTTGTCTACGGTTCGTATCTTCGGAGTCCGGTTAGGTCTAGCGATAGTAAGCAATCTTTAAAATAAGTAGTCGCTTTAGCAGCAGACCGCCTGATCACATTCCATAGGTTGTGATTTTTGAGCACCGCACCGGAAACCCTAGTTGCTCGTCTTCTACTCGTAGTTTTACAAACTATAAAACTATCTATTGCTTATCAAGCCCTTCTGGAACGATGAAAGCGGTTTTTCTATCTAGGGCTGGTTTGTACTTGTTCATGGTGTAGCGAAACAGCTTGTTGGCTGGAGGCGCTTTTTAGGATGACAACAAATGCGTGTGAATGATCCTTTGTTTGAATATCCATTTGCCACAGTACCATGTACCTTGTATTATCAGTTTTCGTATGTGTATGAGAGCAGGTTCTAGACACAAATGACAAACTGTCACCATTTTACTCTGTGGACTGATGAAGTGACTTTAGTGTTCAGTTATTTACCTCTTGCTAAACTTCTACGAAGACCACATGGATGTGGTCGACAAATTTAATCCTTGATTTGCACTCTGGTGGGTCATTTGTCTCCTAATTCTAGAATAAGCCAGTAGGATACTACTCATAAGGTTGCTGAAAATCCATCGACAGCCCACGACCGGTTTCACCCTTCTTGGGGCTCATCAGGTAGGCGCAGTCCCCGGGTTTCCGTCAACCTTATGTTCTACTTGAAACAAATTGCACGAAATTAGCGAATATACANCAACTGAATGTGCTGCACCAGGCCGCCTCATGTTTCAGTCGCTACGATATCTGAAATATCGCGATACACGTATATTTGTAATGAGCCCCAAGAAGGACGAAACCGGTCGTGGGCTGTCGATGGATTTTCAGCAACCTTATGAGTAGTACATTACAAATATACGTGTATCGCGATATCGTAGCGACTGAAACATGAAGCGGCCTGGTGCAGCACATTCAGTTGCCTGAGAACATCATAAACGAGAGATTCAGCTGGGTTCCAGGTGAATCTCTCGAAAGAACCAAATTAGTTTGCAGATGAGTGTAAATTCGCTGAAGCCAGTAGGATCCTTAAAGAGGAAAACTGGTCGCCAGATCACCATTCGCAACCTTAGAATAGTTACAATTATTTAATTGGTCTCCAGGATAAAAGTTCAATAATTCTTCAAGGGTTAGAATATCAACCAAGTTATTGGCCACGTTCTCCCTTCTCTCAAGGACCATCCTGCTTATTTCGGCAGCTCCCATTCCTTGCAAGATATAGTCGCTATGGAAAAGGAATAGTGCATTAAGAAGTTTTTGTGGCCGTTGCACTGGTTGAAACTGTATCGCCTAAATAAACAGAATACAATCCAAATAGGCGAAGTTGAATGGTCTCCGGTTCCGGAGAATTGCACAGTTGTCGTATGTTGTTCCGGAGGCCATCATCATCATCAACGGCATGACATCAGTGTTCAACACCGATGCTTCGCTGCTGTACAACTATGATTTATTTGAAAGCCTTATTGTGAAGAAAAGAATAAAGGTGGACGGCGAAGGGACTTAGTGGTAACTTTGTACAATCATTCCGAGGTGCCTACACCTCAAGACACTCATTCAGGCAATCTAGACCGAGAGACTGTGTTTGTTAGACCTCTAACTATTGACCAGGCTGGTATGAGAGTTTCTGTGTGTCGCAGGGACACCTCCAGTATAGCTCAACGGGTCGCTGAGGTGCGCAAACCGTCACACAACGGTAAGTTCCGGTCTCATCGTGAAAGCCATTATGTTCCATAAGGATCTATATGAAGTCAGTTATCAAAGCACTCTTATTTTGGTTGGGCGTGCCATTTCTTGAAGATAGTCTAGATCTAGGTAGATGGGCGAGAAAAAAGATTTCTGCACTTATTTCACTGTTTGCTTCATTTTGATGAAAATTCCATTTCAGGCTAGTCTTGAAAAACTGCTCACCTACGAAATTCACCTACCTTCCGAACATATTCGTGGATTATCTTTGTTGGACGAACTTCAACGTTTCTTCCATCAGGATGAGTTCAGTTCCCTAGTGCAGGCGTGGAATGAAGAGCGCAGTTTGGTGCTGAAGCAAGCTGCTGAAGACTTCATTTTTCCCGTTTTAATCCGTGAGCTCAAGGATAGGATGCTTGAGGCGAGTCAACAGGCGGTTCTGCGAGTGAGTGCCCTGTCTGGATTTATTTTCATGAACAATTCTTCTCTGCCCTTTGAGTTGTTCTGTTGTGTATACGGTTCGTGGCCATCAGATTGAACTTTTGGCTTTTCGTAAAATTGAGTCTTACTGGTCGTAAATTTGTGACTTGATGAGAAAACTGACTTTCTGCACACTTCCACTCTTCCGTCACATTTTCAATGTGCCAAGAGTTAGTGGAGTTCGAGAAGCAACCTCTTTGCAAGAATGAATGAAACCGTACAGTGCTGCTTGACCTTTCATCAAAAGCTGATGCCGCGTAGTGGATCTCCAAAACCAAGTCAGCGCCCACAAAATACGGTTTTTTTTGTGTTGGTCTTCCTCAGCATCAATTTGTTTAAATGGTGACCAGTTTATCTTTTTCAGGTTTCACTCACTCCATGTTGGAGACTCCATAGACACTACATGTCTAATGAACTCAAAAATTTTTCCTGTTATAATTTCGTTTGATAAATATAACGGCCTTAGTTCATTTTTTGTGGCTTACAAATCCCACTGTTGTTAGTGTACTCACCCGTAGGGTGAAATGCGTCTACAGGCATTTACCAGGTGACCTGTGATTGTATGTTCGGAACAGTTCACTTGCATACTCTCGAATCCCTCTTACTGGCCCGTTCGATCGGTGGCATTTTGAAAAGCAACGGTTGGATTGCTTTGAATAGATCCGGGGCTAGACCTGGTATCTTGGTAGTGTTAAGGCTACGTTGTTTGCCCCGTGCTGACATAATTTTGGTGGGTGTTACGATTATTCCCACAACAACTTCCCTTATTACGTTCTCTATGCAATTGTCCAACTTCGTTTATCGTTTTAACTCCGTGTTTTGTTATACTGTCTCTCTCGCACGTTGTACAGTCCACTTTGTATCTTGACCAACCACGCACAACTGTGTACTACAGGTTGAGCCCGTATTAATCACAGCTTCCTTGTACCTCGCAGATGTGCGCAAAGCGACTGTTCAATTACCTGCAAGTGGCACCGTACCCACCAGACGGTCACAGGTCTTACGAAACAGATACTGAGAATGCAGCCAGCCCATTCAGTGGTTCTCGCGGGAAACACAGTGGACGGGGTCATGGGGATAGTGAATCTCATGTGAGTGGCGCTGTGTGGTCCAAAGGGGCTCGAGTTCTAGCCATGGCAATAAAGGACGAAGATGACGCTAGACAGTCTGTGGTTTCAGCGGTCCATCTGGATTCGAACGGGGAAGTCGTCGACTTTCTCCATCTTCACGGATTGATGCAGTCAAACCGTGTGCAAGAAGACTTCAAGAAACTTAAGGTGAGTAAGCCAATGCTTACTGATTGCTCCCGTCTAGGCTTGGAAAACCTGGCAGCATCCCATCCCTCGTATCTCCCTCAAATCACAGACAGGTACGCACCGAAAGAGCGCAGCGGTTGGACCACTGGTTTTTTTATTTATACAAATAATTCGGTTGTAACCACGCACTCCTTCGAAATTCTAAAAAGTTCTCTTTTTCGACACTGTGTCCAAATGTTTTAATATTTGATTTCGAAATGAAAAGGCTAAAAAAGATAGATTACCTTAGAACACTAGCGCCAGTAATCTCATTAGTTTGTAGGACATTATTTTTCTAGATCAACAGGTGGATTGAATAGAGCCGAACAGGTCTCATGGTCTTCATTGAGCCATCAGCACGTCCGCATAAAGCGAAGTTTTCAGTCGAGCAATTCGGTTAGCATGAACCGTTTTCTACATGTCTAAATATGGGAATCAGACGAATCCTACTCGACGACTTCACCGTACATATTAACGTCACTTTATCCTGTTATGCATGATTTTCGTGGCTGTTCATGGACGTCTGGTCCTGTTTTGCTAATCCCTAACGGAAAGATCCCCGGTTACTTGCCGAGAGAAGCAGTGGGTCTTCCGATGTGTCATTCTTCTAGTTGCTTACTTATGCCCTTATGACGAAGCCCTCATTTTATCACTGACAGCGCAGTAGGATGCTGTTCTGTTTCCAAAGACCTAATCCACTTAATTTATTCTATCAAAACAGCAAAAGGATTGATTGAGAGGTGCCAAAATCTTAGATAACTCATATCAGTTGCAAATGTGCATACCCGTAGTGTATGGCTACAATGGTTGAACGTCGAACGTCATACTGCGCCTCGTGATAAAGTTGGAGTGGGTTGAGTTCCAAAGTAAGCAGGTGATGTAAATCGCTACATTTTGTGCCTACAGTGTTAGTTGCTGTGCCCTGATTAACATCGATTCACTGAGAGATGACAATTTCGGGTTTCAGTGATAGAGCAGAATTTCGAAGCTTTGACTAGGTCCAACTATGTGGATTGTTTTATAAACATGTTTGGTTATCTGCTAGCTGTGTGGCTCGCAGCAACTCTCTTAGGAAGTTCCCAGAGATCCACTGAAAAAGGCACTGGTCCGTCATACCTATGTATGTTTTGGTGCAAATTTGGGTGAATTGCTAGGTGACATGTGAGGTAGAGTGTTAGTCATACCCGTGGTCTTAAACACGAGGCTATGGACAGCACAGAATTCCGCAGACGGTAAGAACTGACGAAGAAAATCGCAATGAACAGTAGTGTTGAACTTTCGGGAAAATCTATGAAATTACTACTTTTTTTTTACCTGGTTTTGTAATTGGTTTTCAGCTTCCTTGAGGATGGGCAAGGTGAACCCATTTAATCATATGTTTTAGCTAAGCAAAGTGAAACACACCGGCTGTTAAGTATTAGCAATCGTTGTAAAGGGCAACATCGTGCTATTTTCGTGCCGTGTGGCCAACTGTCTGGATGAAGAAACCCTGATAAACCGTAGTTTTTTAAACGGCAATGACCGTTGTGTGAGTGGAACTGCAGTAGTTTAGTCGTTTCATTCTTGATGCCAATCATTTCACTCAGCCAAATGGTTCACGCGGTCAACTCCAGCTTCAATCTGTTAAGTCTAACGGTAACTTCACACGGGTTTTGCTTCTTTCTTGCTGCTCAGCCGGACACTTTACCAAACAAAATTAAAGGATTTGTTAACAGAGTAACGAATACTGAGCGTCGAACAGCTGAGTGGGAATTGGTTATCGAACTATCCATCTGGAAGGCTTGATTTTTTTAACACTCTGATGCTCCTCTTCATGGGGCCAAATACACTAAACGAGCGCTCTAACTACGGACAGTTATTGACCTCTTGTGGTAGTATAAATCATTCTACGAAGGACAGATACAATGCAGTGAAAAGATGCCTCTCAGAAAAGAGCTAGTGGAAGTCCTCCTGAAGGATTGTGGCAGTTTGAAGGTCAGATTCATCCGCAGATAGTGTTTGAAAGTCATTCATCTTGCCCGTCAGAAGTGAATGGTGAGGTGATACCGGAACTGCGTTGTACGAACCGTCAGCCTGATTCAACACTTTTGTGTACGCCCATTCGATTTGTCTCCATAAATTATTCACAGGTTCAAATAATCCCATCAACGGCTTTGAAGTCTAATACTGATCGAAAAGAAATCAGGTAATTAGCGAATGTACACTCATCTGCAAACTAATTAGGTTCTTTTGAGAGATTCACCTGGAACCCAGCTGGATCTCTCGTTTATGATGTTCTCAGGCAACTGAATGTGCTGCACCAGGCTGCCCCATGTTTCAGTCGGTACGATATTTGAAAACATCTGAGAACATCATAAACGAGAGATTCAGCTGGGTTCCAGAGGAGTCTCTCGAAAGAACCAAATTAGTTTGCAGATGAGTGTATATTCGCTAATTTCGTGCAATTTGGTTTCAAGTAGAACATAAGGTTGACGGAAACCCGGTTACTGCGCTTACCTGATGAAGGGCGAAACCGGTCGTGGGCTGTCGAGGGATTTTCAGCAACCTCATGAGTAGTACATTAGAAACCAGGTATATTCTTGACAAAAAGTGATGGTAAAAGGTGCTCGACGCTTAAACCGGGGACCCAGGGTAATGACTCACACACTTATCTCTGGAACTTGATGAATGTTTTCGACCCTTTTCTCATAGGAAAAGGACATGCAGCGGCTGTCGGGTTTCATGGTCAAACATCGTCCGCAGGTGATAGTCATCGGATGTGACTGCAGGCGTGCTTTATACCTCCAAGAAGATATTCAGCGCTTAGTTGACGAACTTGCCTCCGAGCGCCGCCTTCCTCGCATTCATGTTGAGCTGATGGAGACTGAACTATCAATCGTCTTCGCCCAGTCGTCTCGTGCGTCGGCCGATCTCCCTGTATCTTATTCTCCTCTTCTCCGTCAAGCCATTTCACTTGGGCGTCGCCTTCAAGACCCGTTGGCTGAATTCAGTCAACTCGTTAACACGGAAGAGGAGATTCTGGGTGTGCGTTGGCATCCACTACAAGATTCACTACCTCGCGAAAAGCTCCTTGAGGCATTAGAAATAGAATTTATTAACCGTGTGAATGAAGTCGGTGTGGACGTCAATCGGTGTCTATCTCACCCACACACTGCAGGCGTTTTACAGTTTGTTTCTGGTCTTGGACCGCGGAAAGGTCTTCACATGCTGAAGGTCAGTACTCTGGTCATTTCCGTATATCATGTTCATTCTCACTATTCACTTTAGCCACCTATGTGAGCATAGCTTTTTTTTCTGATGCTTTCTTACGCGTATTCAATGAATTTCTGTGACTTTACCCTTACTCCTCTCCTGCGATTTAGATCCTGAGACACAGAAAGATGTTCCTTACCAATCGTATGCAGCTGGTCACCGTCATCAAGTTTGGCCCTCGTGTGGTGATCAACTCCGCCGGTTTCATTAAGATCGATACGGCTGCTGTTCGGGATTTGGATGCCGATGATGTGGAGATTCTAGACTCTACTCGGGTTCATCCGGAGAGCTACGACCTGGCGAAGAAGATGGCCGTAGATGCACTTGAGTATGAGGACAATGAGGAATGTGATCCGACAACTGCACTTGAGGAAATTGTTCAAAGGTGCGCGTTACTCTATGTTTCTAAGGCAATCGGTTGACGGGCCATTTAAGCACGTAACCCGGGATTTTGCCATAGGTCAGGTTTAAACAACTCTCCTGTTAGTGGACTATCTACTTAGAAGGCAAGATTGCTCAAGTGGTTAGAGCGCGAGTTTACTTGCTGAGGTTCGTGGTTCGAACCCGACCTCTACCTCTCGACTTCCCCTGTCTAAGCTTGGGCACCCTGACAGTATGTCAGCCCTCATGCTTCCTTTGGGTGGCATAGCAGCTAGGCATCGGAATCGTTACAGCTGAACGATTTGTTTATTACTTAGAAGGACCCTTTACACCAAGTGTGCGGCCGATGACTTGGGAAAACTCGGTTGCTTTAGTAGCTTTTGTCTTCTTTGCTGGATTTAGCCTTTGCGTACTACCGACAGTGATATGCTGTTAGAGGCGCCACCGTCAATATGCAGCTGTCAGTCTCTCCATTCATTCAGAACGAGTCAATATCACTGTATTGGTCGGGCTGTTGCCTACTATCCATGGCTGATAGTCCAATTACGGATTATTAACGAAGCATCCCCGCAATGCAGGTATCAGAAAGCATTTGAAGTTGACAGTCATTGGTACGGTTTTAATATATTGGTTCGTGGTACGATAAGATTTTGGAATTTTCAAGGAATATTTCGTCCTATATTTGAAGCCAGTCTATGCTGAAAAGCCAAAAAGCACTGTACAGCTGTTTCATCCTTACTGAGAATCATCAACGCTGCGCATCTCACGAAACTCCAGGGAGCTTCAAATCCATAACCTCCCGGCTAGTAGTTTGAACACTTCACACTTCGGCCTTGAGCAGCTGATCAGCAGTGTGATGAACTCGCACTTAGACAGCATATTGCGCCACCCATCCTTAAATCGCGGAATCCACATCACGTGGTTACATGTTGACTGGCTCCTCAATGGACGACCGCTATGATAGAGGTTTCACTCGTGATGTGAATTTACTCATGGAGTCATGATGCGTTTCCCAGTCTAAATAAGCTATCTGTGAAACTTTGAGCCACGCAATTTTTCACTGGTGGGCAAAAGACTGATATGCGATGGCTGCAGCACTATTAAAATAACCCGTATGAGTGATGTCACGAAGTTCACTCAGTGGAACACTGATTTCCTGAGGACGTAAGTTCTACAGTTCCCGAAAATATAAAATCTCGACTGAGATCAGTTCTGATCGTAGTTCATTGGCACCGCTTTAATTTGGTTTGCGAAAATAAACTCCACTGGACCTGTCCATATTTAGACATGTTATTACCACAGTGATGTGGTCTACAACGAATTCCGCAAACACATTAGGATAAGGTCGTCTTCAAACGATCGAGCTATTATTGTGTTACGGTTCCTACTTTGCCGTTCCGTGTCTTGTTTGTCGTCATGTATTACACTTGATATCTGATCTTTTTATTTTCGCGTTTTAGCCCCGCCCGTCTTCGCGAGTTGGATCTAGATGCTTTCGCGGAGGAATTGAAGAGACAAGACCATGGCGATAAGCACATTACCCTGTACGACATTCGGAAGGAGCTAAACAACAGATACCGAGATTACCGCGCCCCTTATCAATCGGCAAATCCGGAAATGATCTTCAGTATGGTAACCCATGAAACACCCGAGACGTTCCACGTCGGGCGTCTGATTGAGTGCCGCGTAGTCGCAGTCGCCACACGCCGCCCACGTCCAGAACAGCTAGACAATGCAAATCCAACGAAGAATGAGACTAATGGGTTGTGGATGTGCCCCTTCTGTCGACAAGACAACTTCCAGTTCTTGAACAATGTAAATATTGACGCATCACATGCTGCCCGGACAGCTCGTGTTATATGAGGATTTTGAAGAGTAATCATTCTATCATAGGTATACAGAGTCTAAATAGCAAATTATGACCTCGTCCACAACCCCACCTAACATCGACTTATGCGCATCCCGTCGTCATTTTACGTTTGCCATGGAATTCACAAACTAAATGCGGTGCTCAGGAAAGCCTCGTTATATTCTCTCCGATCTTAGTATGAAGTGGTAATCGTGAAATCTGGCAGAAAGTACGGTATATGGGGCTGAACTCGGGGGTTCTGAAGTTTGCCTATTTCATTTGGATTATTTGACCACGGTAGTCTCATTATTGTGTTTCGCATGGCTGACGCATCAGTTTCTCCGATCTGTTCCATCAGTCTACCATAGTTACGAAGAAACAAGTGTACTAACCGGGGTATCCTCTGATCAAAATTTTAATTGGTTGCACCATGTACCATCGACAGTCAATTTCTACGGGATTTTCGGAAATCTGAAACCACTTTATTCCTAATCTCCACTCGATCCTCAAAACAGAATCGTTTTGTTATGACCATCCAATGGCAAGGTAGGTTTGCCGGAGAGACTATGTACAGTGAACTGAATGTACTTGCTGTTGCGAATCCCAGTTAATTGTTCACCGGTTGAGAACTGTGTAAGTTGAAAATGGAACGCCATATACTGTGATCTCAATATTTACTGATCCAGTAATACTTGGTCCCCTCCTGCTTGCTATTCGGTATGTCAATCGATCCTACTTTACTAGCATTTGGCATTCATTGTAAATCGCCGGGTATTTTGTTTTCACTCACCAATCCCACTTCATGCATTGAGGTCACTCACTTTACCACTTTAGAGTGATTGGTCTAGAATCTCTTTAACCAGGCATGTTCCTAGCTTGGCAGCAAATTCGTCCATTTAAATCGGAGGATCACTTTCTGGCATGATAAATTTCTGTGGGCACATTTTAGAAACAAGGGGATGTGACATTTTGCCAGTACATGATAGGTACATGACGGCATACGCTTCCTTCCTAATGTGAAATTGGCAGATTCCAAAAAAGCCTTATTTAACCAACTACTCAGAAGATAGCTGGTGCACTTGTCCTTGTATAACGGCTTCGGTTGTATAACTCTGTCTGATTTTTCGTGGGAACATACAGAGTATAAATTCAGTATAAAGTCATTCTTTTTGTTAGCAACACCTGGCTTTATGTGCCTTATTGAATTGGTATACTTTTTTTACCAAACTAACTTCAATAGGTCTGGAGCCACTTTGACAACAACGAATGTCCGGGTCAAGCGGTCGGACTTCGAGTTCAGTTGGACAATGGAATTGCGGGCTTCATACCTCTCCGACTTACCGATCCTCCTGCTGAGAAGTTGTTTGAGCGAGCTCAGCCTGGTACTTTGATTCGGTGTCGCGTAATGAAAATTGATATCACAAAGTTCAATGTAGAACTCACATGCAAACAGTCCGATCTTCAAGTGAGATTTTTGAGCCAGTTTGCTTTTCACATCCTATGTCCCCTTAAATGTTCTACTAAATTACCTATTCAACAGTTGTGTGTATTTTCAAAGGAATTAGCGTACGTTTGGATCATAAGGCCGTGTGATAAATAAGCTTGGTGACAGATGTGAACTCCAGTTTTTGTGGAATAGATAGAAGGCAGCTCTGGTTTTGCCGCTCCTTATGGAAATAAGCTTCCATGTGCAGATGTTTATATTTTCATCCGGTTTTGTGTTCATTAATCCAGGGGCCATGGAATGCACGACCCAGGTCAGCTGAACAATTAGTGGTGGCGCAAGTGCTTGGAGCGCGAATTTACTGACCACAAGGTCCGTGGTTTGAACCCGACCTCTACCTCTCGACTTCCTCTGTCTAAGCTTGGGCAACCTGGCAGTATGCCAGCCCTCGTGCTTCCTCCGGGTGGCGTGGCAGCTACGCAGCGGAAGGGTGTTACAGCTGCACGATTTCTTCCTTCGAGATAGCTTATGTTGATTTTCATTTTCCGCTGAATTATTGTTTTATATCTAATATCCTCATGTATATCATTCCACTGAAAGTGGACTTTTAGCCACAAGTTGCTCTCTCGACAATCCTTTTGGAAGATCAGATGATAGGATTCGATAACCAATAAATCTATTGGTCGAGGAAGATGTTGGGCCAGTGTAAATGTCTCCTATATCAATTTAGGGAAATGCGGTCAAGTTCCATAGTCAGTTCAAACAAAGCTTCATGCATTCGGGACTAGATTTTTAACGCAAAAAATTACATTGGTGTCAAACGATCCTGCATAAACTTCAAATAAAAGGACAAACGTGTGTTACGCCTGGGAGTAACATTGATTCATCCCCCAGTTACTGTCAACGAAATACTCGGTTATGTACTACAAAGCTGAGTTATGTTAGGTTTCAGTATAAGCAAATAATGAGTTTAGCTCGTAGTCTCTAAGTATAAATGATGTCGGTCAGAGCCGGAGTAGTTCGGGTGATGAATTTCCGAAGTAGCTTTGAGCAAAAGGTTCGAAAAAGCGTCTTTTTTGTCAAAAGATCAACCAGCACAATCGTGGAAATTCCGCCATGTCTCGAAACATGCTTCATGATCCTTTAATAGGGTAGCAGTCATTCTCAAGTGTTTTCAGCGATTTCGGGGAGTGCAACAAAAATGTGTACAGTACTAAAGGATGCTTGCGGTTATGAACCTTTTGTAAGTTTACGTGGCACCGATAAGATTTTCATATTGGATAAGCAAAAGGCTGTTTTAATGTAAGATAACCAGATGTGTCTTCTCGAGAGGGCTACTCCCAAGCAGTTCGTTATGCCGAACTTCGGAAGGAGAACGTTATTGGCAGTGATAGATGCGAAGTTACAAAACATGTCCTCATAATGCATTTCTGAAATGATTCAAACAGCATTATTATATTCAGGGACATTGAGAGTTGGACACTGCTCCTGAAACCACTGCACGCTACATATAGCTAATGGCAATGTGGTCTATCTGTATCAGACGTTGGTTTGAGTGCGGGAGGCGCCATGTGGTCAAACGGCTTCGGTTGTTCCGGAAGTTAGCACTACACAGAAACATTCGATGGTCAGCACAGCAGCAGTGCAGCAATCGTTCGTCGTTGTCTGTGCGTCTCGTTCCAGGTCTCAGTGCAGCAATCGTTCGTCGTTGTCTGTGCGTCTCGATTCCAGGTCTTGACGACTACCTAATTGAGCCTCAGCTTACCTACCTACTTATTCATAGCTCCGGCAGCCATACCAATGTCGGAGCTCCTAGCCTGCCTCAACGCATTGTAAGCCTATCTTTGAGTGTATCAGAGCTGCAGTTTATCCAAACAAACCGATTTAGGTGAACACAGATAAAATTGGGATCACTTGCAAACGCAGTTTACCGTAACTTAGAGGTACCACATTGTTTGGACCTAGTTTTCACAAGTCCGTTAAGCTGTGTGTGGGCCGATGTAGATTAGACTCAACCACGTGGATTCGGGAACAGATCGCAGAACGTCGCATTTGTGCATAATTGGACTCCGGGGTGTTAAGCCTGGCACGGTCATTCCAATTTACTATCACTCGGCATGGTGAGCTTCCTGAGTATGATACGCTAAAGTGACTATCTCTGCGTTAAAGCTACATGCGTTCTAACACTACAATATCCACATGTAGCCGAGTCCTTCATCCTTGAAGCTTCTTGAATGAAAAATTCGGGCCTGGCTGGAAGGTGTGGAGTCTGAAACTACAAAGGGTGACCATCGTTCCAGTACCCATCTATGTAGTTTTGCTGTCAAGTATGCGGTGTTGATTATGTCGTTAAGTAGATCTCTGAGATATCCTAAAATTCATGGGATTGTTAGTAGAGTAACCACCACTTTATGGTAACGCTATTACGAGTCTACCACCATATTTGCCAAATGGAGGTTATAGACATGACGATTGAAATCATATGCGTAATGCTTTTCCTTCCATAATATCCATCCATCCGTCAATTTGTCTTTCATTTTACTTAGGATGAGCGCCACATGTGGAGACCTCGACCGGATCCGTTCTATGATTATGAAGCTGATGAGCAAGATGTATTGGCCGAGGAAACAGCTAAAGCAAAAGTGAAGGAAAATGCAACCCCATATCTTTCACGCGTCATCTTCCATCCGTACTACAAAAACATCAGCTACGACCAGTTGCTTGCAATGGAACCTGAACTGGAGCCTGGAAGTATTGTGATTCGTCCAAGTAGAAGGGTACGACTATTTGTACAGGCTAATTCGGACTTTCTGTTATCGGTCGCTTTTTACTTCCACGGCTTATTGGGCTTGGGGAGGTCCGGCTGTCCAGAAATATACATTAGTGTACATATACATACATACCGTATAAAGGACAGTAATCAGCTCTACGGTTATCCAGCAACCGTTCCACCGCTTCTAGCCCCAATTTTTGTTGGGTGTGACAGTATATAGATTCTTCCCTCCATAACTTGCCAATAATTTAGGCGGAAAGTGAATGACGAGGTCAGAGGAGTTGACCATACCTTCATGGCTTTAACCGTCAACGGTAGTTGCGGGAAACTGGATGTCTTACCTAATGGATTTCAGGATTGGTCCCGACAACAACACCCTCCCATAGTTGTCCCATTTCAAGTAGTTGTATCTTGTCAGGTAAGATCGATACCGTTGAAATGGGGCTTCCTAGCTGGGTTCATCCGGTCCGTCTGGATGGCTGAACGCAGCTCCCCCAGAGTGGTGAAGTGTAGCCCCACTTATGCTCTGACTTGTGATTTCCTCTGCGGCGTTTCTTCCAATGCTTTGGGGTTTTTCGAGATTTATCTTATTTCACACTTTTATGCAATAATTTGCACGAAACCCCGGAACGGCTATTTACCAAATCGACCGGAAACATGCAACGCCTCAGCTACATTGGTGAATTTTAACATACCCATGGGACGTTGTCGTTTTGTTGATGAACATAATTTGTCAGTAATGTTCCCCTGGTTCTTGATAGATACCCTAACATTAAATTATTAACCTGATCCAATTGCCTTCAAGGTTGTTGTTAACCAGGCCACTAATTTATTTCTCCTTGATCGAGCGTAGGGTGCGGATCATCTCACTGTAAGTTGGAAAGTGGATGATGGAACTCTGCAACATATTGACGTTCTGGAGAAGGAAAAAACGAACAGCTTTTCATTGGGCCGACTCCTTATTATTGGGGATGAAGAGTTTGAGGATCTCGATGAAATCGTTGCCCGCCACGTTCAACCGATGGCTTCCCTTGTCCGTGATATTATGACGTACCGGTACTACCGAGATTCCAGGGTACGTGGTATATTTTTTATTTCTCGTGCGTATCTAAGTTTGGTTTTTTGGAGTATTATGGTGTTATTTTAGCTTGCCTTAAAGGTCGACTCCAAGTTACTTGCGTGATGGTAACAATTGTCAAGACTAGAACACTGGACAGTCCACAGTTGAAAGAATGTTGCTGATTAAGGCACAAGATAACAACGCAAGTCTAGTTTCGTAGGATTGTTGCTGATCACTCTTAGCCGGACATTTTTTATCGTGGAATAGTAGTTTGCCCAAATGATTTCGGATTTATGCTTATTGAAACTATAAACCAACAATAGTCAAAAGAAACAAGATGTGTGTCCGGGCATATCTCCTGTAACCGTGCCACTAATTTTCATCCAAAATATCGTCACTTTCTAGACATCTCACGGTTCGGACTGAGGTGTGGTTCCAATCCGCCATATCTGTCGAGTTGCTTTTGTCTAGACATCTGTAAACTAGCAGCTAGGCAGCGCAAGAATACAATCGCTGGACGATTTAGTCCATGTCATGAGTTCAAGCAGCAACAATTGGTCTCCTAACCTGAAACAAGTCTACCGTAATATGCAGTGGAATGGCTTGCTCAATGTTCTCGCTCTTGGGGACTTTGTTTTTTTTTTAGTGATTTCCTAGTTATTTCCTGGATAGGGTTTCATTTCGGACCAGAAAAAATAAGCGTAAACATAACGTAAACATCACAAACGAGAGATTCAGGTAGGTTCCAGGTGAGTCTCTCACAAAGCTAAAGTTGTTTCCAAATGAGTGTATTTCGATAATAGCGGATACTTGTCTCAGTTTTCCTTGTTCATGAACTCTGACTACTGTGCTGCACGGTGGAGTGATATCTAATGGTCAGTGAAATCAGGGCAAGAAAAATGCCAGCTATAAGTAGTGAATAACGAATGGTACGGGAAATCACTGGTTCATGACAGTTTCTACCGTTTTTCACACATTTGTGGGATACGGCACTTAGTTGTTATATCGACTTTTACTCCGTTCGGTGAACGGCACTTAACACCGTTTACTTGACGCTAGCGTATAATAACGTGGCAATCACTGGGAGTTTATTACGAGGAGTACTCGTTCAAACCACCTCTCCGATCATTCCAAGCTCGTGATAATGGAGCTGTTATGTGCTTTCGAAAGGGTCGAGTCCAGCCCCTACGGACTCCTTTTGTTTGGACTGGAGCCGGTCTTAGATTATGGGGGTCCTTCATTCTAAGTTATCTTTTAACTCAGTTGAAATGCGCTAAATAGAGCTATCGCCTGTATATCCCTTATTTGTGCTATACATTCGGTTGCTACATTCTCATCGTCTCTACTCAGGGTGGTGATCGTGCCGTGTTGGGAGCGCTACTTCTACAGGAAAAGAGCAACAACCCAGACCGAATTCCCTATTTTCTGAGTTCAACTAAAGACCGACCGGGATATTTCCTACTGGCCTACATGCCAAACAGAACGCCTCATTTCGAACTGTTCAGTGTTCGCCCCGAAGGATTCCGGTTCCGCCGTTTAATCTTCCCTAATCTGGATCGAATGATCACATGGTTCAAAGAACACTATAACGATGTAGTGAGTTCGCTTGAATTTCACGTTTAACACTGGAAATGTATTGTTCATTGAGGGTATGTTATGTCCTTATGTTTTGATCACTTACCGTCGGAAAAGCAGTCCGCCACGCGTTTCGTTCTGACTGGAATTCGTTAATCGAACGTATAAGGACCCAGTCTCTTTACGCAGGCTTGGGCAAACTGGTAGTATCTCAGCCTTCGTGCTTCCCTCCAGTAGCATGGCAGCTATGCCTCGGAATGGTGTTACAGCTGGACCTTTATTATTATTATTATTATTATTATACCCTACAGGACATGACCGATCCTAGTGACGATCGTACTGACACTATTTGAAGTTTGTGCTAGGCTTGTGCTGTCTTATTCTAATCGCATATTTTTTATCGTTGTTTGTCGGCATTTTGTTTTTGCTCACTTTCCCTGTGGATATAGGGCTTCCTACACCAGATCTCTACCCTTGTTTCCCACTCTTTCCTACGGCGTTCTATCCCAGGGGTTGTATGACAGTTAGGTGGCAACACTAACTACCGATGCATTAGGGCATGCGTTGGTGATGAAAAAAAGCGTTGACCCGGTCTAAGAGAGAGGGCTTCTTTGAGGGGACCTTGGAATTGTTCACTCTAATGGAATCTAATTATAGCTCCAGTTGCTCCAAATTTGAGAAAATCGATTGGGGCGGTGTTTTCCTTGAGATCAACATCAGTCGGAAATACTCGGAGATTACTTGTACGACCGTT